GCCGTGTTCAAGGCCAGGTTGGACGGGGTCCTGGGCAACCTGATCTGAATGTGTATGTTTGGTGGCTCTGCTAGGCAGGGGGGTTGGAACTACATGATCCTTGAGGTCCCTTCCAACCCGGGTGATTCTGTGATTCTGTGAAATCCCTGTTTTTCCCCTGAAATATCGCTTATTTTCGTAGAAATCCCTGTTTTTCCCCTGAAATATCGCTTATTTTCATAGAAATCCCTGTTTTTCCCCTGAAATATTGCTTATTTTCATAGAAATCCCTGTTTTTCCCCTGAAATATCGCTTATTTTCATGGAAATCCCTGTATTTAACCCTCAAATATTGCTTATTTTCATAGAAATCCCTCTTTTTCCCCTTAAAAATATCGCTTATTTTCATAGAAATCCCTATTTTGAACCCTAAAATATTGCTTATTTTCATCGAAATCCCTGTTTTTCGTCTGAAATATCGCTTGTTTTCATAGAAATCCCTCTTTTTCTCCTAAAATATTGCTTATTTTCATCGTCATTCCTTTTTTTTCCCCTGAAATATCGCTTATTTTCATAGAAATCCCTATTTTGAACCCTAAAATATCACTTATTTTCATAGAAATCCCTGTTTTTCCCCTACAATATCGCTTATTTTCCTTGAAATCCCTGTTTTTCCCATTAAATATCGCTTATTTTCATAGAGATCCCTGTTTTTCCCATGAAATATCCCTTATTTTCATAGAAATCCCTGTTTTTAATGCTAAAATATCGCTTATTTTCATCGAAATCCCTGTTTTTCCCCTTAAATATCACTTATTTTCATAGAAATCCCTGTTTTTAACCCTAAAATATCTCTGATTTTCATCGAAATCCCTGTTTTTTCCCTGAAATATCGCTTCTTGCATGGAAATCCCTGTTTTTCCCCTAAAATATCGCTTATTTTCATAGAAATCCCTGTTTTTAAACCTAAAATATCTCTGATTTTCATAGAAATCCCTGTTTTTAACCTTAAATATCGCTTATTTTCATCGAAATCCCTGTTTTTCCCCTAATATATCTCTGATTTTCATAGAAATCCCTGTTTTTCCCCTGAGATATCGCTTATTTTCCTAGAAATCCCTGTTTTTCCCCTTAAATATCGCTTATTTTCATAGAAATCCCTGTTTTCCCCCTTAAATATCGCTTATTTTCATGGAAATGGTTCCAAGTTGAAGGAGGGAAGATTGAGGTTGGATGTTAGGAGGAAGTTCTTTACAAGGAGAGTGGTTAGGGCCTGGAACGGGCTGCCCAGGGAGGTTGTGGATGCACCGTCCTTGGCCGTGTTCAAGGCCAGGTTGGACGGGGTCCTGGGCAACCTGATCTGAATGTGTATGTTTGGTGGCTCTGCTAGGCAGGGGGGTTGGAACTACATGATCCTTGAGGTCCCTTCCAACCCGGGTGATTCTGTGATTCTGTGAAATCCCTGTTTTTCCCCTGAAATATCGCTTATTTTCGTAGAAATCCCTGTTTTTCCCCTGAAATATCGCTTATTTTCATAGAAATCCCTGTTTTTCCCCTGAAATATTGCTTATTTTCATAGAAATCCCTGTTTTTCCCCTGAAATATCGCTTATTTTCATAGAAATCCCTGTTTTTCCCCTGAAATATCGCTTATTTTCATAACGCCAGGAGGAGGAACTGGCTGATGGAGCTGCTGTTGGGCATCTGGTACTTCTGTGCACCAGGTCCTGTTCAAGGAGGAAAGAAGTCAAAGACAAGTCTTTCTATGTGGGGAGTGTTTCTTCAGCTCGTTTTAGAATGTATCAGATAAAATCACTTCTAATCAGCAGTGCCGAGCAGCATCTGAACTGTAATGCCAAAAATATGTGCGTCAAAACTAGAAGTTCTAGGGATCACTTTTTCCTACAAATTCTCATCCTGCTCACCATGCCTAAGGAGTGCTTGCTGAAGTCTGAACAGCTGTAAGACCTGAGATGCAAAGGGATTCACTGCTGCTTAGTGCAGGGGAAGGGGAACTGACTGACTTTATTTCTACTTGCTCTGAGCTTGACTACTTTGCAGTTTTGCATTCTGAAGGTCAGCTCACAGCTCTGAAGGACACCTGAGGGAGATGTGTCCTAACGATGGCATCTCATTAAGGGAAATCCAGCTCCTTCCCGGCCTCACAGATTGCGTTGCCCACAGCCCCAGGCAGTCGCTCTCAGCCCCTGTGCACTGCAGAGGGGGATGGACACAGGCCTGGGGAGATGCTGCCCTGCCTGCACAGGAGGTGGTTCGTGCTTCGGACCCCATGGTCATGAGGGCAGATGTGTTTCTAGGTCAGAGCTTGCTCAGAGGAAGGTCTTTTATCCACTGAAGGGAGTAATTCCCTGATCGTATCCCTGTGGTCTGCAGATTTTCATCCTGGGGGCTGTTTTCCTCTCATTTCCCTGACTGCGCATACAGACACCAGCCCAAACTCTCTGAATTCCTATTTGCTGTCCAGAACCCACCCTGTTTGCAGGGCACGAGCTAAGTGCATTTTTTCAAGTGGAAAAGGAAACCTAAGAGAACTCCCAGGGTTTATTGAATTGCCCATATTGAGAGACTTACCGTGCCCATAGCTGAAAGCAATGCTCCTGCAGTGAGGTCGCAGCCTGCTCACACCCCACACAGCCTGTAATCCCTCTCTCCCTTCTGTTCCATCTCCATGTCACAGCAGAACGTGCCCCTAGTACTGATGCACAGCACACGGGAGCTGCTCTTACTCAGAGCTGTCACCCTGCAGCCCTGCCCACTTGTAGGAGCTCCCTGTGTCCCATCAGCCCGGCTCAGCTCAGCAGCAGAGGACGTCATTTTTCTTTGTTTTTTCCCACTGATCACTCTTGAGAAAACCCTGGGTCTCCACAGCCAACAGCTCCTGAAAGGCAGCAGTGTCATGATGGTACGTCTAAACCTGCTGAATTTAGCACCAAATGTCCAGTGGACATGGAATAACTCCAGACATACGGTTAGTCCTACCAGAGAGTGTTTGCTGTAACAGAAGGGCACACAGGCAAGGACAGGGAGGGGTGGGCTTCCCCTGGGCAGGGCAGTGATCCAGATGAGGCAGTGCAAGCATCTCAGCCCTGGATGGAAATCCTATGGCTGAAATGGGATTCTGCTCCCCATGGACCCACAGGAGTTTCAGGGATTCGTCTGGTTCAGTTCAGGAGTGCACGAGGAGTTGCCTGCATGTGAGCTCCTGCTCTGAGTCCTTGGTCCTTCAGCGGGGAGTCAGTTGCTCACACACAGACCCTGACTGATGACCTGGGGTGCTGCTGGATGTGTGCTATTGCTTGTGAAGCGTGTGGGATATCCCTGAGAGAGACACCTCCTTCCTGAGCATCAGCTGAGGGCCAGAGAGGGCACAGAGCTATTCTTGGCCATTCTAAATGACAACAGACCCTTGTATTTATGGCACTCAGGTGTGCCTCTTTTACCTGTCTGCATGGAGCAAGCAGAGTTATGCAGCTAACTAAATGGATGAGCTCATGAAAGAAGAGGCACATCTTTCTCTGCCCTCCACCTGCTGCATATTCTGGAGCTCAAGAGCTAACTACAGAGCTGACACACATCTTTATTCTTCAACTGATGACAACTCAGTTTTCTTTGGGCCTACATGTGAGTGGCATCAGAAGCAGCCGAGTGCCATGCCAGTTCCCTGGGCTGCCCAGAACAATCACATGCAGCTGCAAATGCCACACAAGGCCTTCAGGAAATCCATGCCCTAGGAGTGTCTGTGCTGCTTGGACAACTCCAAGCCTCACAATGAGTCTAATGACGTTGTGCCACCTTCTGAACAAAAATAACATAGATGCACTAAATCCAATTATGCATTCTGGATAGGTTGTTGCCTTATGTGTTTTCACACTAATGAGAACACCAACACATGCTGAGCTAGAAATGTTGGTGGAGTTGTAGGCCTGAGCTCTTGTTTGGACCACAGGGACACGGTGAAATGACTTGCACAACTGAACTGTAGCACAAAGGGTATACAAAGACTTTATGGTGGATGGGTGAGGAGCCAAGGAAGGGCGACTGTGCTCTGTGAGAGTGACCAAGGCCCAGCGTCCACCGCTGCTCTGCCCTGCTGCGTATTTGATGTCCCTCATCCTCCAGGTATCTCCAGCTCTCCTAAATCAATCACCATGGTTCAGGCCATGTTTTTTAGCAAGCCATCTGGACACACGCTCTATCTGGACTCATTCTATCACCTCTCTGGCCGTCAGCCAGAACCGTGACACATGCCTCCCCATATTTGTACTTTGGCCATCGCCCTTCCTCCCAGAGAGGTTTCATCCTCTTGGCTTGTTTACTTGTGGCACATGTGTCACAGTTATGAATCACCTGTGCAATAGTGTCCATAGTTAATTCCACCCCTTGGTCTCCAGCCCATTTGTATGTTGCATCGCATCCTTGATGGCCTGAGGTCTCACGGGCCCATCGAGCCTGAAATAATTCACCCTTGTTCTGCCAGTCCAGGTCTATTTGAGCCACCTCAATTCTGGCAGCTCGGTCTACCTGATGGTTATTTTGCTGTTCTTCAGTAGCCCGACTCTTGGGCACATGAGCATCCACATGATGCGCCTTTACAACCATATCCTTTATTTGGGCAGCAATGTCTTTGCACAGTTCAGCAGCCCAAATAGGTTTACCCCTTCTTTGCCAGTTATTTTGCTCCCACTGCTGTAACCACCCCCATAAGGCATTCACTACCATCCATGAGTCAGTGTAAAGATAGAGCACTGGCCACCTCTCCCGTTCAGCAACATCTAAGGCCAGCTGGACAGCCTTTACCTCTGCAGATTGCCTTGATTCGCCTTTCCTTTCAGTGGCCTTGCAACTTGTGGCTCCACACAGCAGATTTCCATCTGCGATGCTTCCCCACAAGACGACACGATCCATCTGTGAGCAGGGCATATTTCTTTTCATTCTCTGGTAGTTCACTGTATGGTGCGGCCTCTCTGTTGGAAATATCCAAATAATTTTCTAGGACGGTATCTCTGATGAAGCCGATTTTATTCACAATTGCAGTGGAGGGCCTCCTGCAAGCAAGAGAGCACCCCAGAAAAACAGAATTACATCTTTTATTCCGTATTCCCCGATGCTGATCTCTTTCTCCCCTAGTTCCTCATTAGCTGAGTGCTTTAGGTTCACAATCTTCTCGACGCTTCACTAAACATGCAGACACTGGACAAACATGAATCTTTGCAGCCTAAGCATAGATCTGTAATTAATTAATGGACTTATTCCACACTTGAGACTTCTTTTGCAGATACCTTCTTGTCTTCCCTTCCACAAAGACAAGCTTGGGAGAAGAACAGAGGGGAGGATCTTGGTGCCTGCTCATCACATCCCAAACTTCTCACGGAATCAGACAGTTCAGCCTTGTGTAGAGGCCCTGGCTTCTTTGATGTTTGTTAAATCTGTTTTTCTTTTGTAGGGAGTTTCTTATCCTAACAGAACAACTCTACAAGATGTTTTCTAATCCCTAATACTATACACACATTGTTTGGAACATTTAACAACTACTACAGTTTCACAAGAAAGAATTAACATATAAAACATAATTCAGTAACAATGCTTCTAAAACACGCTGCTCACATATACAGTATTTTACTTCTTATATCAACTATTTCTAAGGATGTTACAGAATACGAATGCATTGTGTTCTACTTCTTCAAACCAATTGCTCTTTTTAATATCAAATGCAGAAACAACAGTAGAGGAAGAGTAAATCCAGAGTAAAGAGTGTGCAAACCTGCTAGAAAGTGTGAGTAAAACCCAGAGAAAACTGTGAGTAAACCTAGAGTAAAGTGTGAATAAACTCAGAGCAAAGTGTGAGAAACATCTGGAGTCAAGTGTGCGTAGGCCCAGAAGAGAGAGCGTACACACCTGGAGTAGGGTGTCAGTAAAACCTGGAGAAAAGTGTGAGTAAAACCAGAGTCAAGCATGAGTAATGTTGAGGAAAAGTTTGAGTAAATCTTGAGTAAAGTGTGAGTACAACGCACTCAAAAAAGAAGTGTGAGTAAACTCGGAGTAAAGTGCAAGTAAACTTGGAGTAAAGAGTGAGGTAAGCCCAAGTCAAGTGTGAGAAAACCCAGACTAAAGTGTTAGTAAACATGGAGTAAAGTGTGAGTAAAAGCCAGTGTAAGGTGTGAGTCCACCCAGAGTAGAGGAAAAGTAAACCCATAGTAAAGAGTGTGCAAACCTGGGGAAAATTGTGTATAAAACCCGGAGAATACTCTGAATAAATCAGGATTAAATGTGAGTGAACTCAGAATAAAGTGTGAGAAAAACCCGGAGTAAAGTGTGGGTAGGCCTGGAACAGAGGGTGTACACAGCCAGAGTAGGGTGTCAGTAAAACCCAGAGAAAAGTGTGAGTAAACCCAGAGTCAAGTGTGGGTAAATTTAAGGAAAAGTTTGAGTAACTCTTGAGCAAAGCGTGAGTCAGAGATACTTGAGTAAAGTGTGAGTAGGCCTGGAGTAAAGTGCGATTAAACTTGGAATAAAGAGAGGTAACTCCAATGTCATGGTTCTGTGTTTTTGGTTTTCAGCATTCCACACCATAACATCAAGCAGTGCACTGGGAGTTAAAGTGTTCATGCTGCAGTTCCAGGTACCTGTCCCTGTACATTACTGAAGTCATGGCACCTGGCCCTTTGGATGGGGTGCTCTCTTGCTGCCTGGCAGTGGGTGCTGGAGGTGCTTTCCCAGCCCTTCCAAGCTTTTCAGGTTTGACTCACTCAGGAACTCTCTCTCTCTCCTATCTTACCTGGTTTATTAGTCTCAGTTTCAATTAGATTATATGATACTGTGTTATCTTGCATTCCAATATCATAGTAAAATAAGTTTTCCTCCATAGATCATTGCTGCTGTTTTTGCTTTTTTCCTTCCTTGAGCCCAGCTCCCATCTTCCTATCTCTCTTCCTTCACCCTTCCCATTTTGTGGGGCTTGGAGGGGGGCCAGGGGCCTACTGCCCCCTGTCACGGGCATAGACTGACCTAGATAACTCTGTGACAGAACCTCACCATCATCTTCCAAGGCACCTGCCAGTTTCCAGGTAGACACAACCAAGTCATGTCCCTCCTGCTATTGAGTTGTGAACTCACACAGAAGAGCCATCACAATCCCTCACACAAACCTCCTTCTTGCTCTATGGCCCTACCAGGTGCTCAGGCACAGAGGATCCCGCAGGCAACACGTCAACCTGGCACTTTCTGTCAGCCTCTCAGGGACACTGCAGATGTGATCCTGTATGCACAGATCCCAGCCAGGAGCCAAGGGCTGACCAACAGCTGCTTCAGGCATGAAATGCTTTTCTGGGGCTGGCCTGTCAACTCCACACACAGAAGTGATCTCACAGCCACCTTCACAGCCTCGTGCCACCTGCAGGCCCAGGAGATCACAGAATCACAGAATCACAGAATCACCCGGGTTGGAAGGGACCTCAAGGATCATGTAGTTCCAACCCCCCTGCCTAGCAGGGCCACCAAACATACACATTCAGATCAGGTTGCCCAGGACCCCGTCCAACCTGGCCTTGAACACGTCCAAGGACGGGGCATCCACAACCTCCCTGGGCAGCCCGTTCCAGGGCCTAACATCCTGAGGTAGAGATCCTGAGGTAGAGCTGAGCTCATGGCAGCATTCCTACCCACCTCCTCCTGATGGCCTCAGGCTGATCAGTCACATCACCTCCTGTACATACATCACCTCACATTCATCACTGCATTGCACGCATTTGCTCAAAGACTCCACGATTCCTGCTCTGCTCAGGACAGCCAAGTACTCAAAGTTTAGGGTTAGGGAAGGGGTTGAAGGTGAGGAGGGCAGAGCACAGGAGCAGGCTCTATGGGTGTTGGGAGTTCAGGATAGGAATTAAGGGTTAGAACTCACCTTTTGGGGCAGTGATTAAGCAAAGGTTCAGTGAGAGGGCTTGGTGTTCTGCTAAGGTTTTCAGGACACTGTTAGGGTATGGACAAGCATTATGGATTAGTGTTTTGATGTGGGCTGCAGTTTGGGCAAGCCTTAAATACAATCTTTGAATGTTATCAACAAAGCTTGGTTTTAACATGAGTAGGAGAGTAAGTGTGGGAATCTGTGCAGTCCATTCCTTGGGAATGTTCTTGGCAGCAACTTTCAAAGAGGCCCTGAGCCTTCAGGCACCGCCATGAGATCTCCATTAGCGACAGACTTGCTATGGTGGAAACAATCTGTGTGACAGAAGTGCCCACTGCATGTCCTTGCTTGTGTTTGCAGCCACACAGCAGCACTGTCACCAAGCCACAGGAGCTGCAAGGCTAAGGGGCAATGGGGTTGAGTTTCAGCTCAACACACCACCACACCACTGAATTCTGTCCGAGTGCAACACTGAGCCTTTTCTTGAAGAGTTTCTGTCTCACCTCTGTTGGCTGTTCCATTCCTGAGATGGAAGTGGCACCTTACTCAGGAAGGAGAAGGACACCAAGCTCTGCAGGAGGACCTACCTGCAAATTCATGCTCCAGAATGTCTCCTGAGAGTCCTGGGAAACCTTTCCTGTACTCTCATGCATACGTCAGCTACCCTAGGGCATCCTGAAGGCAGTGCCCACCTACCTCTGTGAGGCAAATGGAAAGAAATTTTCAGGGAAATGTTTAAACCTCTGAGATGAGAACCCATATCCAGGAACTTTTCCTATGCAAAGTCTCATAGAGACTGAGGAAGAGGGGATCTCAGAACCAACGTGCAAACCAGCTGCTGCTGGCCTGTCAGAGGCACTGACAGATGTGAGCCTGCAAGCACAGACCCCAGCCAGGAGCCAAGAGACGGCCAGTCAGCTATTGCAGGCTGAAGTCACCACACAGTTGGATTAACAGCCGTGTGCTTCCTGCTGGATTGTGGGTTTGTGAGAACAACTGACCCTGGCAGCTCCAGAAATGTGTTTCAGGAAGGAAGACAGACAAAGTCATTGCATGCTCTTTGTTTTGTTAAGATTCACTGAGAGCTTGGTTCCTTATGTACACTATATCTGGGCTACACTGCATATGTACAAACTGAGTAGCAATTGATGTGGAAAATAGCATTTAAGTGGAAAATATAAGAATACATAAGATACAGAAAAAAATATTCAAAAAATTACACAAAAAATAAATACACAAACCGAAAGAAGTCTGGGTCTGCTCAGTCTTGAGAAAAGAAGACTGAGAGGGGACCTGATCCAGGTCTAAAAATATCTAAGGTGTGGGGGGCAGAATGGCGAGGCCAGACTGTTTTCAGTGTTGAGTGGAGACAGGACGAGGGGAAACGGACAGAAACTGCAGCATAGGAAGTTCTGCACCAATGTGCGAAGGAACTTCTGTACAGTGAGGTGACGGAGCACTGGAACAGGCTGCCCAGGGAGGTGGGGGAGTCTCCTTCTCTGGAGATGTTCAAGACCTGCCTGGACACCGACCTGTGAGATCTGGTGTAGGGAACCTGCTTTGGCAGGGGGTTGGACTCGATGAGATATGGAGGTCCCTTCCAACCCTTGCCCTCTCCTCCTGCCCCACTCCCAGCGCTGCTCTTCACACCAGCCCACCCGCACTTGAACTCCTCGCGGCTCAACGGGAGCCTGACGTGCAGCCCTCGGCTGCCCGCAGGTGCAGCTGGCCTTCCCAGGCCAAGCAGGAACAGTCAGTGCTACAGAAGGCTGAAAAAGCCACCAGGGAAGCTGGAGAGACAAGCTCAAGGGGCTGAGTGCAGGGACACCTTTCTTCCTCGTGCGCTGCCTCCCCTCCTTTTCTTTCTCTCAGTCCTCAGAGAGCAAGGTGATGCTCACAGGCTTCGCTAGCAGTTACGCTTTGGCTGAAAGGCCACCGCTTGGGAAGACCAACATGGAAACGCGGGAAAAGCAGCTCCATCTCCAGGGAGGGACGTGAAGCCGGCCGCTTCATCGCCCTGCCGCTGCCAGCCCAAGCCAGGCATGTTTGGACCAGCTACTGAAAGAGGCAGCACCAGGTGTCAAAGGTTTGTTTCCCTTTTATTTGAAACTAAGGGATTTGGGTTGCCTTTTGTAGATACGTCAACAGAAAATAAAATAGCCTGGATACCGCTCATGACCAGCGACATGCGCTATGTTCACCTCATCATCAACATTCTGAAACAGCTATCGAGCTGAAGGACCCTGAAGGAACGCAGCGTCCCCAGCTCTTGCCAGACATGAAATCCCGCACAGGCAAAGTCCGATTTGTTTGTCACGCATCAGAAGCCCCTCCAGCTTCCTCAGTTCCTCTCCAATGTCCGTGCAAGGGAAAGCACGGCCACGCCACAAAACCAGACGTACAGTGCGCTGCCTTTGGAGCACCTCTCAGCAAGCATTCCCGCTGCTTCCTTTGGCCTTTGAGGCTTATCGCTCAAGCCCTCACCGTTTCTTTTTGCTTTCCTTCTTGGCTTTCTTGCTTAGCTGTGCAGCACTTGCCTTTGGTTTCTTCGCCGTCTCCCAAGTCTTAGACTCCAAGCCGTCCGAGTCCTGCAGGAATCAATTCACAAACAGTCAGGGAACTTTCTGACAATTGCCCGACAGCTCGCTTTGGCAGCTCAAGTCACCTGACTGGGCAGCTTTGGGTGCCAGTGCTGCAAATTGCCTTCCTGACATCAGGGCACAACAGAAACTCCACCTCTCTCTTGTTCCCAAAAAACCCACGTAACCTACAGTCTACAGGCCTTTCCTGCAAGGCAGTCCCTGCACAGGGGGACGCCCTGCCTGCCACTCACAGCCCACAGAAGCAGCAGCAGCAGGACGATAAGATGAGCTTGCACCTCCAGGCTCCCTGCGTGCCACCAGGAACAGCACGCACGCCCAAGGAAGGGCACAACAAACTGCCACATTCTCAGCAATGCCGCGGCGCGCTACCGTAGGCAACGGCTCCAGCTGCTTCCCTCCCAGCCCATTTCCTCAGCATTTCTATCAACCTCTATCAAGCAGAGCGCTACTTACTGTCTCTGGGCACTTGGGAACTGGCAGCATTATGGCCCACACGCACAGAAGCTGGAAAACGGCTCCAAAGAAGAGGCCGCAGCGCAGCACGTTCTCCATCAGCGTGGGCTCAGGGATCTCAGGGGCCGAGAAATGCACTTCAGCGGCCATAGCGCAGACAGCCTGCTGCTCTGCTGCTCTCCAGGAGGCTGCTTTCTACAAGGGGGAAACGAGAGCCATCATTCCTATCGTGCGCTCCGACGCTGTGACTTCCTGCTAGCAAAAACTCCCAGCCTGACTCACAGACGTGCTCTCAAGATAGCCTTGGTCTTCCGACCCAACCACAAGGAGGGACGCCAAACTTGCATTTCAGCCAGAGCTGAACAGGCAACAATCAACTTCTCCCTGAGGTTGATCGCACATGCACGACCACTGTCTCATGAACACTAACAACAATAGCATTAATCCCATCAGTTGCACATTTGCATCTACCTGGGTACGTACGTGTTCACGGCCTTGCTGCTGCTGTGCCGGACGGCACCAAGCACAGAAATAAAGCACGCAGAAAGCCCATCTGCTGAGCACAGGGGGATGAGCTGGGCTCACGCCTAAGCACTGCTTACTGCAAAGGAAGGCACGCCTACCTGGCAACGGCCACGCAGGATGCTCGAGACACAGTCACACACTGTTCTCCTGAGGCCCAACGCAATGGCGCAGCCACTCACACTCTGCTCCTCGACGGTCTGCAACACAAAAGTCACAAGCTGGAAATTCAAGCCATCCAAGATGCCATCGGGCCTCCGTGCTCACGGCACTCGCACTCATGTCTTCGGACGATCAATCAGGCGTGTGCTTACCGAGTGAGCGATGCTCACTTCCACTTGACAGGAGCAAGCTACCCCTAACTGTCAAGTATGAACAGGAACCTATGCCTAACACTAAAAGACTACAAGTAACCTACGCCTAACTCTAACATAAGAACAGGAACCTATGCCTAACACTAAAAGACTACAAGTAACCTACACCTAACTCTAAAATACGAACAATAATCTACTCCTAACACTAACACTAAACACTAAAATCAACAACAAAAACAACAACTAAACTATAACACCTGCAGCATTTAAATGGGAAGAGGAGAACTTGGCTCCACAGGAGGCTCGGAGGAGGAGCTGATGGAAACTAATGCCACCCAGCTAATGCTGGGGGCGGGGGCCGCGCAGCGGGTAGGGAGCCGAGCGCCTGGACCAGCGGCGGTGGAGCTGTGACGGCGCCGATGCGGGGCCTGGCACGGTGGTGTGGTGCCAGGCCAGCTGTGCCGCAGGCGGATCCACCTCCATGGGCTCATCCGGAGGTGGATCCACCTCCATGGGCTCCACGGAGGTGGTCACAGCGCTGGCCCAGGCGCGATGCAAACGCACTCTCTGCCCCCTCCTCCGCTTGATCTTCAAGGCGGCCCCC